GACAAATCATAGATATACGTAATCTGTACACGTGACGGATATACCGCAGCTACTGGAGATAAAGTGCTTCATATTTTATTTTCAAAGTATTCATGGAAGGCGCATATCCTCTACACCAGTGTTCTTCAACTGATGGTCAGGGGGTCAATTAGTGGTCTCCAATTATGCCTTGGTGGCAGCCACAAATGTATCCTTGATCGTGAGCAACTATGTGATGCCAGGACTAAATTATGTCAGGACTATGTTATATCAGGACTATATGATGACATTGTACGATAGCTTTCATAAAGACTACCAGCCTCCTGATATAGGTTTTCTGACAGAAAGATCGACGAAGAAGAAGAAGAAGAATATGTGCTTAGAGGACTATGTGATGACATGACTATGTGATGACATGACTATGTGATGACATGACTATGTGATGACATGACTATGTGATGACATGACTATGTGATGACATGACTATGTGATGACATGACTATGTGATGACATGACTATGGACATGACTATGTGATGACATGACTATGTGATGACATGACTATGTGATGACATGACTATGTGATGACATGACTATGTGATGACATGACTATGTGATGACATGACTATGTGATGACATGACTATGTGATGACATGACTATGTGATGACATGACTATGTGATGACATGACTATGTGATGACATGACTATGTGATGACATGACTATGTGATGACATGACTATGTGATGTGACATGACTATGATGATGACATGACTATGTGATGACATGACTATGTGATGACATGACTATGTGATGACATGACTATGTGATGACATGACTATGTGATGACATGACTATGTGATGACATGACTATGTGATGACATGACTATGTGATGAGAGTAGAGGACTTTATGATGACATGACTATGTGATGACATTACCATGTGATGACATGACTATGTGATGACATGACTATGTGATGACATGACTATGTGATGACATGACTATGTGATGACATGACTATGTGATGACATGACTATGTGATTACATGACTATGTGATGACATTACTATTTGATGACATGACTATGTGATGACATTACTATGTGATGACATGACTATGTGATGACATGACTATGTGATAACATTACTATGTGATGACATTACTATGTGATGACATGACTATGTGATGACATTACTATGTGATGACATTACTATGTGATGACATGACTATGTGATGACATTACTATGTGATGATATGACTACGTGATGACATTACTATGTGATGACATGACTATGTGATGACATTACTATGTGATGACATGACTATGTGATGACATTACTATGTGATGACATGACTATGTGATGACATTACTATGTGATGACATTACTATGTGATGACATGACTATGTGATGACATTACTATGTGATGACATGACTATGTGATGACATGACTATGTGATGACATGACTATGTGATGACATGACTATGTGATGCCAGGACTTTAGGATGACAGGACTATGTGATGCCAGGACTATGTGATGACAGGACTATGTGATGACAGGACTATGTGATGACAGGACTATATCATGACTGGACTATGTGATGACAGGACTATATCATGACAGGACTATGTGATGACAGGACTATGTGATGACAGGACTATATCATGACAGGACTATGTGATGACAGGACTATATCATGACTGGACTATGTGATGCTTAGACTAAGTGATACCAGGATTTTATGATGTCAGGACTATATGATGTCAGGACTATATGATGTCAGGACTATATGATGTCAGGACTATATGATGCCAGGACTATATGATGCCAGGACTGTTTGCTGCCTACTGTTCAGGTCATCGTGTCGACTTGTTACCTGGGCAAGAGGGCGTTAGCGTTTGTAAAGTTAAAAAAATTTGAGGCAAACAGGTTGAGAAACGCTGCTCTATACTAATGCGGTTTCCAAAGGTTAACTAATGAAAGGATCCCTTTTCCAGCGTGCTGGGCAAATAGTGCTAGGCATATTTTATAGACTTGTCGGCAGACGTTTGGTGATGTGATCACCAAAACGGTGGTGGCCTTTTCTCCACAGGATTTTATCTGGTACCTATTTAAGACTGAGTCGATCTGGATACCAAGATCGTTTTTTCTAAAACAAATTCCGGCACCGATGGGATTTGACCCCAAGACCTTCAGATCCGCAGGGGAGCGTCTAGAAGCTTCACCACTGCGGCTCCCACAGCTGAACTAATACAAAGACTTATTTACATCTGCGGCACGGAGAAGATTTCCATTTCCCGAGCAAATATGCAATTCCGCCCATCTTGCTGCAGTTGTCTGGCTGCGATTGCGCACGTAGCAGTGGCGCGGTGGCGACCGGTTTCCTTCCGTTCTCAGGGTCATCTCAACTTTTGAGCATTAACTGGCAGTTGTAATTGAAATAAGTGAACTGTTTTACGTGAATTGAAAGATGGTTTATTTGTGCAAGACCCCGCCTCCTGTCCCAGAAGTCTCCGATTCATTCTCCCGTGGAGCGTGTTAAAGGGGTTTGGTAGTAATTAATGTATGTGTGTAAGTGTGTGCGTGCGTGAGAGAAGTAAACAGAGAGAGGATGAGAGAGAGAGAGAGAGAGAGAGAGAGAGAGAGAGAGAGAGAGAGAGAGAGAGAGAGAGGCAAGACAGAAAGATTAAGGAGAAAAAAAGGCATGCCTACACAGTGAGAGAGACACACACACAAAGAGCGAAAGAGTAGAGAGAAGAAACGCATACATACCGAGTGAGAGAAAGAGTGTGTGTGAGAGAGAGATAGAGACTGAGACAGAAAGAGTAAGAACCAAAAAGCATGCACACAGAGTAAGAGAGAGAGAGAGAGAGAGAGAGAGAGACTATGAGAGAGAGAGAGAGTAAGGAGAAAGAAAGACATACCCATAGAGTGTGAGAGAGAGAGAGAGAGAGTAGGACGGAGAATACAGGCACATTTATATAGAGGGTTGGGGAATATGGGGGAGAGGGAAGGATAGACGCAAAAATGTAGAGGTTGGATAGAGATAATAAAGGTGGGGGAGGGGGGGGGGGGTACCTACATATATACAGAGGTCGGAGGGGAAAATCGGCTGGACTGGGCTCTGTATGAAAGTTGTCATTTGATTACATTGCATTCGGTACCGTCTCCATCAACGGCACTGGTTTTGCCAGCGGATCTGACAACTGTCTATTGCAACTACATCGCAAGACAAGCTGTGAGAGACCAGCGGTGACCTTAGGCGCACTGTTCTGTTTGTAACCCACAAAAGATTGCATGTGTATCTTGACTAATTTCGATACGGAAGAAGAAGAAATAGATCCGGCGTATGAAGGAGGCGTTCGTCAATTTGTTAGTCGGTCAGTCAGCAAACTTTCTAAAGCGTTCGGCTTCTAATTCTGTATTTATCCGAAAATGTATACTCGTTGTGCCAGTTAACAACATGGCTGCGATATTTGCGCCTTTTTTTTTTTTTTTTTGTCGACACATCTAAACTCTGCGAGCATTTGTTGCCCGAGTTAGCCTCACTGGAAGTTTTCTGTCTGATGTTGCCCCGTGCCACCTCTCTATAACTGACCACGCATAGTGCGTTTCTCAATATAGACTAAACTGAAAGAAATGCTCCCAAATTACCAGTAAAAAAATTATAATGAAATCCACCACTAGAAACGTGTGATACAACTCAAGAAACGATGACGCACATCCGGCAGGCCATCCATGAAAGGATTCACACAAGCAAGTCTTCTGCTAGTCTTATCTGCGCGAGCCCTGCTTACTATCAGGTGAGTGTTAGTCGAGCCTTAAACAAACTCAACAGTCCCCTGGCAACACTTTCGGAAAGATTAATCTATAATTTAAATTTGAAAAACGGGAAGGAAAGGAAGGGATGGGATCAAGAGGGATAAGAGCTGAAACTCGAGTGCTTTCTCGAAACTCGTTTGAAAGAGGAAAAAGTCATAGTTTAAAATTTGTAGCGGGATCTATGTTTACTTAGCTCGGTTAGCTGTTCGTTATTCCAGGTGTTTTGACTAATTTATTTGATAGTGCTGGGTACATGTTCTCTAACAATCTGTCCCTTTATTGTAAGTGTTTGATCTATTTTGTTTATATTTATGTGCCACTTCTTTTCATCTTCTTGCAAAATTATGTAGATTTTCCTTACTTTTCTTTTTCTTTCTTAATCATTCTTTTCTTGATCTCTTCTCATCCTTTTCCTTATCATTTCCAATAATTTTATCTTGTCATCATGTTTCACTTTATTAAAATCTTTGGTGTAATCTATGAAGCACAAATATATGTCTTTCCATTTCCCTAAATGCTCTCTCTACTAAAGTCCGCAATGTGGACTAAATTACAAACGTTGTGTAAGAGGTGAAGAATGTGTCTGTCGTTTAACCCTACCAGGACAGTACAACCAGCGACCAACAGCCGGTGACATAAAGTGCCACCATTCGGATGAGGATCACATAGGAACAAGTCAACCGTTAAGTTATATTAGGGCCCCCGACTACAATAGGGCTGGTGCTTTAAAATATCAAAAAATTGCTTTCCACATTGAGACAGGAGTAGTTCATACAAGAGGTGGAGAGGGAGCGAGTGTGTTCAAGACATGATGTGATCGGAGCGACTTTCTGTAAATGACCTACTTCATGATGTTTATAATAGTTGTGCACTTAAACAAGACCCAAGCCACTCGAGTGCCCGCCACCCCCCATAAAATGATAAGGCTAAGGCCCCCTCCTTCTGTCCCTCCCGATATTTTCTTTTGTCGACGCCCCTGTACTGCCTTGAAATATCAATAAAAATTAAAAGAATAAGATAGCCCTTCTTCGAAGCGACTAACGTCACTGAATTCCCTTTATTATATTTCGCACGCGGGGGTTTGATAACGGCGCGCCGAAAGATGTTTGTTATGCTTATCCATGGATTACGCACCAACAAATAACAATAACAGTGCAGGGAAAAATACACATTTGCCAGGGTGTCTTCATCTTTTCTACAGACTTTGGTTGGCGGGAGAAAAACAGGATATTGCTTGACGAAGCGGAAGTGAGAGTAGCTCGGAAGGATGAGAATCCATGTGTGGAGTCTAGACGGCGAGTAATTAGAGGAGTTAGACACAACTCTTGTTTGGCAGTTTGGATTCTGAAGTTGTGCAGGTGAGAGTTGTCGTCGTTGGGGCATGAGTTTGTTTGTGTTTGTTGTTGCAGGGGAGTATATTGTTGGTGTTGTTGGTCTTCGTTTTTTTTTTTTTTTCTCCACCACCTCTTCCTCTTCCTTCTTCTTCTTCTTCTTCTTCTTTTTCTTCTTCTTCTTCTTCTTCTTCTTCTTCTTCTTCTTCTTCTTCTTCTTCTTCTTCTTCTTCTTCTTCTTCTTCTTCTGCTTCTTCTTCTTCTTCTTCTTCTTCTTCTTCTTCTTCTTCTTCTTCTTCTTCTTCTTCTTCTTCTTCTTCTTCTTCTTCTTCTTCTTCTTCTTCTTCTTCTTCTTCTTCTTCTTCTTCTTCTTCTTCTTCTGCTTCTTCTTCTTCTGCTTCTTCTTCTTCTTATTGTTATTATTATTTATCATCATCACGACCATCATCTTCTTGTTCTTGTTCTTGTTTTGGTTCTTTTTCTTCTTTTTGTTTTTCTTCTTGTTGTTGTTCTTGTTCTTCTTCTTCTTATTATTATTATTTATCATCATCATCATCATCACCACCATCATCTTCGTGTTCTTGTTCTTGTTCTTTTTCTTCTTCTTCTTCCTCCTCCTCTTTTTATTCTTCTTCCTCCACCTCAGTGAGACGTCGAGAAAAAGGAGAGAACAGTGTAACGAATGTGAGTCTGTTCTGTCTCAAAACGTTCTAAAATGTGATTTTCTGTTCCCTAAGGGTTCTTTTGCGGTCGTCACATCTTCCGAGAAGCCTTTACTATGCTCGGTGCTCACATTTCATCTGGGAAACTCTTTCTAGTAGCATCCTTGACTGACTATCTGATTAGCTGATTGACTGGATGACTAGCTGGATGACTGACTAACTGACTGACTAGCATTCCTAACTCACTGGCTGACTCAATGGCTGACTGACTGACCGAGTTCTCAAAACTTTCTAAAATGTGATTTTCTGTTCCCTAAGGGTTCTTTTGCGGTCGTCACATCTTCCGAGAAGCCTTTACTATGCTCGGTGCTCACATTTCATCTGGAAAACTCTTTCTAGTAGCATCGTTGACTGACTATCTGATTAGCTGATTGACTGGATGACTAGCTGGCTGACTGACTAACTGACTGACTAGCATTCCTAACTCATTGGCTGACTCAATGGCTGACTGACTGACCGAGTTGCTGACTCACAGGCAAACTGACTGACTACATTTCCTCTTAGGCCAGCTACCTGAACGATTGTCATCTCTTGGGCTCAAACTCATATTCTGGATGTCAGACAGGACAAATCCCACATACTCAGTTCTACCCTCTAAGAAGATATAATTAGGGTACCCGTGTTGTTTCATTATTCCAACATTTCGATTTTTGATTCAGATACGGCTATTTGCCAGTAGGCCGGCTTTACGTTTGTGTCGAATTTAGCCTGCCGTTCAGTGGCAGTGGCAAACTACTGAATGTTAAATTACCTTGTTGGAAAGAACATGTATCAGAGTGTCCCGAGTGAAGTTGTGTCAGTTGTTGATTGATTTTAAAATACCGTCTGGTGTTTCAACAGGCTGACGACATCAGTCCACATGGCTGACGACATCCGTCCACGCGGCTGACAACCTTAACAGGTAAATTACCCCACAGCTTTGAGCATTTTGGGTATATAGGGCCGAACCTATAGTTTATAGGCCAATCGGCACTCGGTGGTTGATACGGTCTGCATCACGCTCGCCACCTTTATTTCTCAGGACTTTACCGGTTACCCATTTAACTCTTTGAGTCCCAAGGAACACATTATACGTTCATAGTTTCCTACCTAAAAGCCCAATGAACGCCTGCGATGCTAAATCTTCTGGTACTCCACGAGTTAAGGCTGGGTCAATCTGGAAGCCAAGGTCATGTTTGGCTCCGTCAAGACCTAAGCTCACGATATCCCGATCGTAACTAGGCGTAGCCTTACCTCACCGGCATCCTTAAAAAAAAAAATGTTAGTAATTTTTTCGGGTTGGTTTTCTTTCGGGAAACACCGTATTTATGTTATGGTATGTCATCACAGTCGACGTCTAGGCACCTTAGGATTGTCTCCATGAAAATTCGGTTATAATATCTTCTGTCTTTACCTCAAAGACTGCTTAGACGTGCTTCACCAAGCTTAACTTCAAGGTAATGCAATCGTATTAGCATCAGAGGTTCATCATTATTTCTCCAGTCCCGTCTGGACAGCGGTGATGATCATCTCTGTTCTTGCTTCTTCCGGTTTGCATTGGTGCATTACTTTTTTCCGGGAAACACACTGGTATTAGTAGCGTTCATCTAAAGCCTGTTAGCGTAATTACTTGCGTTGAACATGATGATGATGTCATAGTCATGTAATAAGTCCTGTTTAAAGAATAAAAGAGTACGTGCTTATGGCCCCATTATTCATAGGCCCTGTTTCTGCTCGTTGAAAAGATGACTGGATCGATCGAAAATACGCATATAAAAGCTCGGAGAGCAGTGATTCAGTTATGTTTATTATCTTAACGTTCTTTTCAGGATGAAATTTTTCCTTATTTGAAGCCCTACTCTGGCTCTTGCCAGGGACCGCAATATAGCCTGGCCATAAATATGGCCTAAAGGCTGAACGCGATTCCTGGGACCTCTCCACGGTTATCCTCACCCACATGGTAGCACATTGTGTCATGACAGGACATGTGTTCAAATCCACAGGTGGGGGGTGATTTTTTTTTGCTTTTAAAATTGATAATGTCTCCTAGGTCGCCCCTAGGATAAAATGAGTACGATATAATGTCATGGGAAGTAAAGGCGGCCAGCGTGATGTTTACCATATCATCCAGTAGGTGTCGATAGGTCTGTAAAAGAACAGAATCTTATTTCCGTTTCCCTGTTGGCGTGAAAATGCCCCCCCCCCCCCCAAACCCCCCACTCTAGGATGTTTCTTAAAAACGTCAAAAGAACATCTTAAAATATTGATGGTCTCTTATACTCATTATCAAGAAAGATTGTTAGTTAGATAATTAGTGGGTTAGTTAGATAATCAGTGAGTTAGTTAGTTAATCGACAGATTATACTCGGATCCCATCTTCAGTATCTCCCACAGCGTGTGGCGACTGATAACGCCAGTTATGTTTTCGTTTAATATTCTCCTTTGGCTACCTGTATAGTGTTAATGTTTGGCGACACCTCTTTTTAACCTGGAGTTCTTGTAGTCTTGAGTGTCGCCTGCAAGCCAGTCTGCTCGTTAACTCTCACCTTGAGTGTTCTGGCACAAAAATAAAACTAATTCCTATCAGACGATATTTCCTTAGTGACTCCAACCATTTTCTTCGAATTATCAAGAAAGATTATTTTTGCTTACTAATAAATAGAGTAATAATAGAAGTATCTACTCCAACCTTGCGTCCTAAACTTCGGCAAGAAAGATAATTTCATGCAATTTCTACTTGCGAAATGGGTTTTCCAGTCTGTGAGTTTATCTAAAATGTCAGCCACTGAAATATATCTGCAACTGTAGCTGGCCTAGAAAAACTATGCAGGGACTAACGGAAGCGATAAGATTACATGCAGCACCACACAAAGCCGGCGTTTATGCAAAACCTTTTTAACAAATCGCGCCCAACAAATTTAACCCAACGCCCACATTAGAGTGTCCGCCCCTGGAAGAAACATAGGAGACAACAGCTATGAAATTATTCAGTTCTCAAACAGTCCCTCCATTGTGTCCAAGAACGGTAATGTTACCACAAACTTCTGATTCAGTTGATAATAGTTGCCTCCCCCTGTCTGTCCATAACAGAATGTCTTTGTTGTTGTCTGAAAAATTGAGCCGTTCCCGTGTCTAAAAAACATTTAAAATCAGGGGCTGTTTGTTGAATTTGGGAATTGGTTCAGTCAGAAGGAGTGCTATAATAAACAGACTATGTGATGATGTTTAGGTTGTATGATATCACAGCTTATACGGTAGAAGGGAGTTTCCGCGATTCCTTCCTGTTAGATTTCAAAAAGCAACTCTTTAAATCATTGTGAATCAATCGCAGACTGCAATTCAGGCTACACTCGTGAACAAAGGATAGTTTGATGGAGTCCTTACAAGTACAAGATTGAAGGTTACACCGACATTTATTGGTGACCAAAATAAAACTTCTTCTTCTTCATCATCATCATCATCTTCATCATCATCATCATCATCATCATCATCTTCTTCTTCTCTTCTTCTTCCTCCTCCTCCTCCTTTTCTTCTTCTTCTTCTTCTTCTTCTTCTTCTTCTTCTTCTTCTTCTTCTTCTTCTTCTTCTTCTTCTTCTTCTTCTTCTTCTTCTTCTTCTTCTTCTTCTTCTTCTTCTTCTCTAGTCCTATTCTGCTTTTCACCGTCAGGTTTTGAAGAGGCATCTGGTTCGAGTCTTGGTATGTACTACGTAAACTCTAAGATTTACGGCCTTGGAGATTCCATCTATCCATTGCTCGCGTGGTCGACCTCTGGGATAGCTGCTTCTGTTGTGTCTAACTGACAGGGCTCTCTATCGTATTTTTCTGCTAGTAGACTTGACACATATCCGAACCATTAGATCTGTTGTCTCTCCATGCAGTTTGGGTTGATATATTTTTTATGATAACAGTAGCAACACCCATAACATTAGTAACAACAACAGTAACCACAATAGCAACTGCAATAGCAAAAATAACAACAGCAGTAATAATTGTAACAATAGGACTAACAGTAATGCCAGCAGTAGCAACAACAGTAACAACAGTAACAACAGCAGTCATAACAGTAACAACAGGAACAACAAAAACAACAGCAGTAATACAAATAACAATAGCAATAGTAATAACGGTAACAACAGGAACACCACCTATAACAACCATAAGGAGAGAAATAACAACTATAAAAGCAGTAACAGCAACAGTAACAACACGCATAGAAACAGTAACAACAGCAGTAGCAGCAATCATAAAAACAGTAACAACGGAAGTAAGCATGCTAACAACAACATCTCTAACAACAATCAACGACAGGAATACCAACTCTCAGG